CTGTTCCATCAGAATCTTTCTTTCATCTCTGTCAGTACCACACTCTTATAAGGAACACATTGTTAAACCAAACTGTTTTTGTACCCCTTCATTTAAAGTTAGAGTCGTCTTGTCACTTCCTGCATAAGAAGAAAAACCAGGAAAGATTCTAACCACTACTACAGGAGGTCTGTAAATCATTTTAGGAGAAAACGGCATCTTCATCTTAACTGAATCTTCCAGGGTGAATGAATCTGTCTTCCCCTCTGCCTCTGTTGTTCTTTGGTCTTCATTAACTTCCCTCATTACTATATTGTGGCCAACACTGGAGGATCTGGCACATGGCCTACTAGATTTATTTATAGATATTTGACATTTTGTGATGTTAGTGTAAGTGGCACAATTAATTTCATTTTAAGATGCTCTTGTTGCAGACTGAGACAAGAACAGCCTTTGTATCTAGCAGGCTTGCTAAGACCACTTATTTCCAAAGGCTTATAGAGTCTTTGAGCTTTTCACATACTCAGTCATTTTAACATGATTAATGATGAGTTAATGTTCCTAGCTGTTTTATCAGGTATTTTTTTCTAGCCTTATTGTCCTAGGTAACACATTCATTTCCTGTAGTATAGATACAGCATATTGATTCTTATCTTGATCACAATCTCAGTTGGAAATTGTAAAATTTCAGTATACGTGTATTTTTTACCATATATTTTAAAGCTCTAAAAACAGAACTAAGGAAATTTCTTCCTGTTCTCATTGTGCTGTGTTTTCTTCTTTGTAAAACTACAAATGCATTTGACCACTGTGAGTAAAATGCTTCTTCTCAATCTGTTAAGGTGATGTTACAGGTTTTCTTCTTTCTTTTTTTCCTATAATGAGGCAAATTTCATTGATTGACTATTTAAATGCTAGATCAATACCATATTCCTGAAATAAAATCTCTTGTTATGGTGTGTGTGCGTGCATGTATGTTGCACATATCTGCCTCCAACTTTCCTCAGGTACCCCACACCATGCCAGTGGCTCCCCGCTTTGGTAATTCACTGTATCTAATCAGTGCTGCGTGTTGGAATGCTGACTGGTGGTGTTGTCTTGATGCTGTGCATGTAACCATAGCTTTAGTGAATCTGTGTGGGCAGTGGGCAGTGGGCAGTGGCCAGGCCATGTCCAGATGACAGCAGTTCACAGCTCCCATCCCAGTGCTCAAGCTCTTACCTTCTGCCTCTTTTCTGTGACAGTCCCTGAGTCTTGGTGTGTGGTTGACATATGTAAACCATTTAGGGCTGAAGAGTCAGAGTTGCCCTTTGGGCAATTATGAGCCTCAGCGTTGACTGACATCCACTGTAGAAAGAAGCTAGTATCCAGGGCAGCACTAGTTTATGCGTACAAACAGAAATGTTTGGAAGACAATTTGGCCCCTAGCAGTGGTAGGACATTCCTTTAATCCCATCCCTTGGGAAGCAGAGGCAGGTGATTCTTTGTGAATTCAAGGCCAGCCTGATCTGTACAGCGAGTTTCGAGACATCCAGGACTACACAGAGCAGCCCTGTCTCATAAAAAATTGACGTTTGACCACATGTCTCTTTAGGTGTATTTAGCAAATTATTATCTTTTTGTCACTTGCTATTGATGCTTTAAACTTCATGTGATTTTTCTTCCCCTTTTGCATACAAAGCATTAGGTGTCCTTATAACATTTTCAAAGAAACTTTGTTTCATTCATTCTGTCTCCTGCTTCTTCAACCCTAGCACCCTGCCCGTTTTGATATTTTTTTAAATTATCAAGCTTGATCATAGAATTTTAAACTTCCATTTCTTTACGTATCTAGTGCTTTTGATTTCATTAGTTTCATTCAGTAAGCTTTATTGTTTTAGGACTTCTTAGATGTATATTTCTTAATTCTTAAGTAGTTGGAGATTTCTTACCCCCTTTTCTTATCCTCCTTTTTCGGTTTTAATGTCTAGCTTCCTTGCTTTGCAGCAGTGCATATGCTCTCAAGATTTTGATTCTTGAACTCACTGAAACTTGCCTGTGACCCTGTGCATTGTTAGTTCTGATGAATAGTTCATTAGTTCTTGAAAGTAATATGAATTTTGTCATTATGGCAATTTGTCAGTTTGGTAATTGTGTTTATTTTCTCCCTCCTTATTGACTTTGATGTCTTTGTGTTCTGTTAGCTATTGAGACAATTCTGAGCCACATGACTGAGCATTTATTCTTCTTTAATGCTAATGTCTTTTACATACATACACTTGATACACGTACAAATAAAGTTATCATATGCTCCTGATAGCTTTATTTCTTTAGTAATACATCATCTTGAACTTAGTAGTGATTCTTCCCTCAAAGCCTGTGTTTATCTTTTCGAGTATACCTACTAGTAATATTTTTGCAAGTGTTTACATGACCTATCTTTGTCTTTTGAATTTTTATCTATTTGTGGAGAATTGGTATGTCATGATGGGCATGTGAGCTCAGAGGCTACCTTCAGGAGCTGCTTATCCTCTACCATGGTCACTACGAGGAGACTCCGGCCGTCAGGGTTGCCGGCAAGCCCTTTCCCCTGCTGAGACATCTCACTGGCTCTGCATGCTATCACTCTGTGAACTTTCTCATGTGCACATAGATTCTCAAGGTTATTTGCAGTGCAGTGGGTTTTTTGATGTTGTTGTTTGTTTTTTATTAAATCCAGTCTGATAAGCTTTTTAAAATTGAACTGTTTACTGTTGTCGTAGCCTCCGGCCCCCCAAGACTGTCCTTCGGGGTAGGGGGTAAGAAGGCTCAGAATCAAGGACATAGACTACAGGAGCCAGATGAGAACCAGAAGCAAATTCATTTATTGCAGAATTTCGGAGTGCCTTTATAGCCTCCACCCATGCCCCATTGGCCCATAACTGCTAGCTCCATGTAGCTGGCACCATCTGATTGGTTGTTCTGTCATCATTTGTCTCCAGGCATCAGGCAGATTTCAGTGTTAGTAAATGTGGAAGCAATTATTTCGCACGTGTGGGCCACCAGTCGGAGCATGCTGACTCATTCCTCCTACATTTTACTGTTAAATTTAGTGTAACTATGTTTGTATTTTATCTTATGTTTATGCCCTCTATATCCCACTTGTTTCATTTTTATTATCTCCTTCTTTCCTTTTAGCTTAAAATTTTGTAGTTTGATTTTTTTTCTCCTGGTTTGTTTACTTCTATGTTATCTTTCAATGATAACTCAAGAAAATACAATATGCATCCTTATTACTGTCTAGTAAAAATATCATTATGACTTCTTTTCACTAGCATGAGAAGCTGAAGACACGTCACGTGTCTGGTTCTCTTTTGTCTTATTCTTGACATAAACTTGATTGCACACAGTATTGTTCTGTAGGAAGAACATCCGTTTATACATATCCGCAGAGAACTCTGTTTGATGCTATTTGTCAGTCTAGTGTTACTTGTTTCTGCCTGAGATCACCCTTCTAGAACGTGTTTAGTGCTGTCCTGCTGGCAAGGAACACTCTGTTTTTATTTTTCTAAAAATGTCATTATTTATGTGAAGAAATTTATCTTCTTAGATGCTAAAATCTCAGCATATTACAATTTCTATACAAGATACCATTTGATACTCTTATAGATGGTTCCGACATTCGAGCTGCATGTTGACCTTGGGGCTCTATCGGTTCTGTGTAAGTGCTCCTAACATTGTCTTTTTTCTAATTGAAACAATAGAGCATTTGGAAGAAAAATGCTTTCACTGAAGAGTCAGTTCTCCCATTTGCTACTGTGTGACCTTGATCAAGTCACTTAGCTTCTCCCAGCCAGTTTGTCTATGAGTTGAAAAAGAAATTGGATATTGGCTCAATGTCACTTGGAAGTTTGAGCTCCTGTCGTGCTGTGACAGACATGAAAGTGCTTTGTGACCAGCCAAAAAGCTTTAGTGTTATTAAGTGCTTATTGGAGCAGAGACAGTTTCAGTGTACATATGCAGAATTCTCTTACATGCATGCACATCTATAAGAAACCACAGACTAAATTCTATGCTTGTGTGTTTATTTGTATGTATCCTCCCCTTTCTAAGCAGTGTGTTAAAAGCTACATAACATATAGCTTATAAATGGCCCATCATAAACTCATGATCTTCATCTTTCAAACAACCACTATGAAAAGGGAAATCTGGCTGTTACATAATTCACAATACCCATAAGATTTTTAAAAAGCCTTTTTTTTTTTTAATGCTGAGCACAGTGAAGACTCTAACTTTCATTTTTTGTATAATGTGAGAGCATTAAGAACATGTTCCTGCCAGCTCAAAGGGTACCACTTGGCATGGTAAATGCACCTCAGCGTTGGGCTGTTCTCTGGTTTGATCTCCTGTTTCATGATCCCCAAGGAGAATTATACATTTTAATGTGAGTTACAAGTAGTTTCTCTCCCGCTCTACTTGCAAATGGATTCTATTCAGAAAACTAATAAATAATGCCAGCTTCTCTTTCAGCAGACACAGTACACAGCAGAGGGCAGGTTGGGCTAGGAAATTAAAAATTCATTTTGTATGCATAACTTTTAAAAGCTACCTTAGGAAGGTAACATATAACCTCATTTTGTTTTTCTTTCATAAAAGCTCATTTTAAAATACCTCATTACATTAATCAGATTTTATACTCTTTACCCTGCACAGATATCTTGCTAATGGGTTATTTATTTTTGCCTTGAAAACCATAGCATTCACATTTCTCTCTGTGCTTCATCCTTTGATAGGTCTTGGATTTGTGTGTTGTATGCCTGTGTGCATGTGAGCATGCATGCATGTGGTGTATGTGTGTCCCTATCTATTTGTCTGTCTTTTTCTTTCTTTTGGGCAGGGTTTTTCGGTTGGTTGGCTTTTTTTTTTTTTTTGGAAATATGTAGTCTGTAAACAAACTCAAATAGATGTTGGTGAATTGTGGCTAATATCTCTGAGGCTTTTCATGGGTAAATTTTAAATGGGACATTTGTTCTTTACTTAAACATTTTGATTTTTGTCTGCAGGTCACTGGCATGCATTTTATATGAGATGTGTTGCATGGATCATGCATTTGCTGGCTCCAGTTTCTTGTCTGTGGTTTTGAATATTGTTGAAGGCAACACACCGTCACTCCCTGACAGATATCCACAAGAGCTAAACATCATCATGGAACGGTATGGAAGCAAGCCTGAAGCAGAAACCACTTGAAGTTCCGTTACTGCGTTTGGAAGGGACCTAGGTTTTTGTTCATTTGACAAACCATTTTCTCTTTGAACCTTACAGCATGTTGAACAAGAGTCCTTCATTGAGACCATCGGCTGCAGAAATTTTAAAAGGTCCTTACATGGAAGAACAGCTTCAGGTATTGGCAATGAGAATGGTGTAGGGACTGTGTCTGTGACCTTAGGCCATGCTGCGGGGCTGAGAGGCAGTGAAGAGTCAGTCAGAGCGGAGGAGAGCAGGCTTAAGGAAGAGAAGAGGAATTACCAGGGAAACCTGTTTGCAAAGGAGGCCACACAAACCCTGGTTCCCTCATGCCACCAGACATGGAGAGTCAGGGCTCTAGTTTTCTATGTAAAACCCAGTGGCTCTGAGGTTGAGATCATACCTGAACACTTTGAAATCCATCCCTGTTAGGTCAAGACTGTACTGCAAATAGTATGGAAATCTGGGATTTTCATGGAGCTGTTATTAGTCCCTCCTTTGTGATGGGACTTTGCATCTTTAATTGGTTAGGCATTTCTTTGTTTTCCTTCACATTAGAGAGGTTGATTAGACAGAGGACCCGCCTGGGTATAAGAAGCACACTGTTCTCTCTAAGGCTTTTTTATCTTTTATGGTCTCTCTGGCTCTTGCCATTCTAACCCCTCGGACTCGTTCCCTGGGTTAGGAATAGCTCTAAGAGGAACTTCCAGGTAACCATCTTGTAACGGGTGCCAGCTTTTCACCAGTAGGCCAAGATCTAAATCCAAAGGAAGAAAAGATAGCAGTGAGGTGTGCTCAACCAAGAGGCACAGTTTGACCCTGGGGAGACTGAAAAGAAAGGGGCAGCCATGGTCTTCTGTTCTGAAGTTTGACTGCGAGAGTAAGAATTCAGTAGCCAAGGAAAAGGAGCAACAATGAAAATGATAACAGAAACAAAGGAAACTGAGAATTATAAAAAAAAGAAAAGAAGAACAAAGGAGGGGGAGGGGCTTTGGTGGCCAGTGGCATAGATGCCATCTTAACACTGGGAAGAAGTAGCCAGGAAAACAGTTTAAAAGGAGGCTTGAAGATGGTGTCAGATCCTCCAGAACTGGAGTTACAAACCTGTATGAATCACCATGTGGGTTCTGAAAAGTAAGCCAGGGTCCTCTGGAAGGGCAGCCAGTGCTCTGAACTGCTGAGGCACCTCTCTAGTCCTGTAATATTTCAAAGTTAATATCAGCAAATCCTGATAGCAAAATATAAAACCTTAAAGACACACTTCACTGAGGCCAAGATTAGCTAGAAACTAGTGAGTTATAGCTGTCCGAGTTCAGGCTTGGATCCCATCTGTAAACATTTGGGATTGTATCCTTTATAGGTGTGGGCATTATTTTTGATTTTACAAATAACAGTGTGTATTAAGTAAGTACCTCTTCTGCTTGCCAAGATCTATATCATACCCTTGAATGTTGTACCTTAGCTAAGTGCCTCATTTGCCTGGTGCCCATATTGTCATGGGAAGGTTGACACAGTCTATTAGAAGCTGAGAGCTGGATACTCCTAGACCTTTGGGAAGGCCTGCTGGTGGTGGGCAACGGAAGGAGGAGAAGGGGAAACCACAAGGAGCTACGTCTGTGGGATCTCCCCACACAATCTGCCACACAGAATATTATTTAACCCTTCAAAGAGAGAAAAGCAGCTGCTGTGAGTTTTATCTTAAAGTGCCCTGCTACAGTTAGTAAAGGCCCCAGTCAGAAACAGGCATGTGGTACCTTTTTGTGCCCTTTCATTGCTGAAAGGGATGTGTAAGGTCCACGTGGTTTTCCTTTATTTCAGCACCTGATGTGTAAATATCCAGAAATGACACTGGAAGACAAGAACTCAGTTTGTCAGAAGGAGGCTGCTCATACAATTAATGCCATGTAAGTAATTGCTCTGGTTTTTAAAAGCCCATCTCATGTAAATGCTAAGTGCATCAGTCTTTAAAAATCTATTAGTGCTAAGATGATGATGCAGAGCATCCTAGATTTCACTGAAGTCTTGCCAAGAAATTAAGAAGCTTCAGTAATGTGGCGTGCCAAAACCGTTTGCTCCGGGTGGTAGCAGGCTGAAATCCTGCCCCACCTAAACTGCCACATGTGCACATGGATATTGGGTGATCCATTGGCGCAAGGTCAGTGTGCCAGGGCCCACACCCCTAAGGAAAATCGACTTCCCCTATCTACTAGCCATCAACTGACAATAGCTCCTCAGTTAGGAGCTCCTGTGCCCTCCATCCATGCTGGAATGTTGATTAGACCTAAGAGTAACTGTAGCCAACACTAGATTATTCCAAACATAGCAGAATCCCCACTCCTTAAGTGGGAAAGAGGCAGAGTTGTGGTTAGAATGCTGGTGTTGCTTGTAGTTTGGTTCAGTCCATGGGCTGAGTTGAGCCTGTGACATTAGTCATTTTATCAAGACAGAAGGTATGAAATGGCTGCTCAAAAGGAATTTAGGCTAGACATGGCACTCTACCTTAAGGTCTAAAGCTCAGCCTTGTCTGTGCCCCAAAGTAAAACCACCTGAGTCTGGTCCCTGGGTGACTTGGTTTGTGTGTGTGTGTATGTGTGTGTGTGTGTGTGTGTGTGTCCTGTACAGGCTTTCTAACTGGATTACTTACCTCAACCTCTAGTGGAGATTTACACAATCACTATGGCATCTGTTATCTTAGATCTTGAACAAAGGTTCTCAACTATCCTGTGCATCAGAATCTCCTTGACATTGCTGAAGTACAGTGATGGGCTAGTGGTATATGGATTCTGGCAGGTCCTGGTAGATACTTTCCAATCTTGTGTTAAGTGATATCACATGAGTATCTTGAAGTCATCCATGGTGTGATAGAGGCCACCTGTCAGAGTTTCTCTCCCATGAGGAATCGGTCACTTAATGTCCCTCCCTACCTGGACCTTCTGACTCGGTAGGTCTACATAGAGCCCTGGAATTTGCATATTTAGTGCACTGATGGTTTCTCTAGTGTCTTAGTTTCTTCTGATGCTCTGATAAAGTAATTGAGCAAGAGCAACTTAAGGGAGAAATGGTTCGTTTTGTCCCGCAGCTCAAGGGTTCAATCCATCCTTGTGCAGTAGTCATGGCAGCAGGGGCTTGAGGCAGCTTGTCACGTCCGGTCCACAGGCTGGAACAGAGAGAGCTGGATGTTGCTTCTCAGCTCCTTTCTCCTGTTTACACAGATCAGGACCAGTCTTGGTTGCTGCCTCCAGTGGGCAGGTCTTCCTATCTCAATTCACCTGTTCAAGATAATCCCCATAGGCATACCTAGGGGCCTGCCTTGCAAGTGACTTTAGATTTCATTAAATTGACAGTTGGGATAAATCATCACATCAGGGCATGCTAATGATGCAGACAGAGTGAGTATACACTAGAAAAAATTGTCTGGAACAATCCTGTATACTTCAGTAGCCACTATCTACAGGTGATTTAAGACTTTCAATTAATATTTCTTATTTGTTGCATGACTGGTTGTTGATCTCTGTGTTAACTGCCATCCACTAAAAAAGAAACTTCTCAGATTAGGGTTGAGAGATGCACTTTTTTCACTTTGAAATTTTACATTTAAAAAAAAAAAGGAAGAGCATGTTTCTGTGTGCCTCCAGTTTCATCTGGCGATGACCCTAACTGACATAATACAATATCGAAACCCTGAAAAGTCACCAGGATGACACTGACAACTCAAGTACAACAGTAGTTAGATCTCCTGCCGCCCTCCCCTGCATGCCCAGGCCTGCTGTTCTGAGGTCCAGCTGAGGAGTTCACACTGTTTTTCACTGTCTCTCCCTGCTCCCTTCTAAGCCTTAGATTCCCTCATTGTCTTCTGTGACCTTGACATTTTAGTCTGACCTCATTGCATATTTTGTAGACTGTCTGTATGGCATTTGCTCATAACTAGACTGAGGTTACGTCTTCTGGCCAAGATGACCATGGGTCTGACATTGTGTCCTTCTGAGTGTCCTGTGGGGGCACTTGATGTTCATGTGCTTGTTTGCTACTGGGGCTAACCTGGATGCCTTGAACAAGGTGATACCCATTGTCCCTGGCTATTGAATGATATATAGGTTAGCATTTTCAAGTGTTTTGGTCCCAGGATACCTTTACACTCTTGAAAAACCATTCAGAAGCCGGGCAGTGGTGGCGCACACCTTTAATCCCAGCACTTGGGAGGCAGAGACAGGTGGATTTCTGAGTTTGAGCCTAACCTGGTCTACAGAGTGAGTTTCAGGACAGCCAAGGCTATACAGAAAAACCCTGTCTCAAAAAAAAAACTAGAAAAAAAAATTAAACCATTCAGAGCAAGACAGAACTTCTCCTTCTCTTAAAAAAACACCAGTATAGATATGTGCTGTGTCAGATAGGGAAACTGAGACCTTAAAAAACAAAACAAAAATGTAGCAGTTGTTTAGGGCTAAGAAGATGGCTTAGTGGGTTAATTGCTTGCATCAGACGTGAGTTCAGATCTCCAGCACCTGAGTACAATACTGGGCATGGTGGCAGGCATCTGTAACCCAGCACTGAGGTAGGGGGATGTACTGGGAGAATGGAGACAGGAAGAACCCTGGAACTTTCTAACTAGCTAGACTAGCTTAATCTGTGAGCTTTGAGGTTCAGAGATCCTGTCTCAAAAAAATAGAGAGTAATTAAGTCTGATATAGTCCTCTACCCCCCATGTGCAGGTGCACATACACATGCACATGTGCAACACTCATGACCACACACACATGTCCTATACGTGCACATGTGTGACACTCATCCCCCCACATGGACCGCACACACAAACAGTCATTTAAAGGAAGAGCAATGCACCTATCCCATGTTAACAAAGACAGCATATTTCTTATTAAAATGAATTGTTTTTCAAAATTAAAAATGAATTGAGAACAGTTACTCTATACTTTGCAGATTTTCATGGCTCCTCTAATTGAAGGCAGCTGTTCTGTAGTTGGGCCTATGTTACATTACATGCTGTATAATCTGTGGAAGCTCCACTCACTCCAGAGGCTTGAAAAGGGCAAATGCTATGAAATATTAAAGGTTTGGACTCCCCGCTAGAAGCAACTCAGGGGCTCCCAGGGGTCCCTGGACCACTCTTTTGAGAACCGCTGCTATAGGCACAAAGAAGAGACACTAAAAGAGGGGGTGTTAAATATTCCAGGAGATCATGAATAATTTCACTAGTCATACTGCTCTGTTAAACAATTTTTAATAATCCAGAGAAGGATAATGGGACAGTAGGAGCCCATTTTGTGACCAGGCTGCTCTAAGGTAAAAGCTCTTCTTATTTAAATTTCATGGGTGCGAAATCATTAATAAGCAGAATTAATGTTGCTGATATTATTGTAAGGGTCATAAAAATGTGCAGTCTTACTGTGAGGCTGCACTTTATGCCCTCATTGACAGCATTGTATGTGCTAAGTAGGTAGCTGAGAAATTGAAATTGAAATTGCTTGAGGGGGTCTCCTACAGAGATGCTTATGTGGTGAAATAGTTCTCTGACTTATCCGTCCCTCCCAAAGAGTCTGGGAGTTTCTAAATCAACTACCCAAATGCCTGGCTCCAGCATCTGCTAGGCACAGCACTTCCTCATCATTGAAGAATTCCATGTAAGATGCAAATTATCTGATAATGTTTTTTGTATCACTCTTCACTTCCCAAATAAACAACCCGTGAAGAGACAGAGCATCGGCAAGTTCAGCCCATACATTATAGGAGGTTCATTTTCAGCTTTGATCAAACAGTGGGAGGGATGGCGATACTGACATGTATCCCTGGTGGAATTTCAGAAAGTATCCTTAGATACATTGTTGTATGTCAGCGTTGATGGATTGAACGCACAACTATCTCCATTTCGGCTTATCCAGTATTAGTCTTAAATGAATGCATTCCTGTTTTGTTTGATTCTCTTTTGGGAAGATATGAAATTACTTTTAGCTGAATGGCATATGAAAAATTAGGTGCATTTGGGCAAATGCATTTAATATGCAGATGGAATAAACACAATTCTACTTGCGTGCACAATAAAAATACCAGTGATCTGGAATTTATACTTCTTGCCATTCATCTCTGTCTCTTCCGCTCTGTATGTATTAGCTCCTACAGAGTCTCCTAGGGCTCCCTTGCTAGAACCTGGCTACTCCAGACACTGGGCTCTGAATTAACTCACACCTTACTATACTGTCCCTAAAATTTCTCTTCCTCATTATTCCTAATAGTTATTTCCTTATATACGTATTAGGATTTGTTTACATGCTTGTATTTGCTGTGCTTGGGATTGAACCCAGGGCCTTAAGCTTGCCAGGCCAACACTGAACTCTCATCTGGTCCCATTTTCTTTTATCCTAGTTTTATTATCTTAATGTAATTTGTATTAAGTTTTATATATCTACCTTCTGTGTGTGACAGTGTGTACATGTATGCATATGTATGTATGCATATATATGTATATGTACCTGTGTTGTCATTCCTCAGGACAAGAGCCTTCAACCCAAAAATGAGAGCTGATTGGCTGGCCAGTGAGCCCAGGAGATCTGCTTCTTTCTGCCTTCCTAGTCATGAAGCTTTTTAAATGAGAATTCTGAAGACTGAACTGGGGCCCCTGTGTTCACAGGCCAGGCATTTTACTGACTGAGGACTTTATTATATTGGTAAAGCAAAAGATACAGCAAAATGAGATATATCAAGTTAAAATATTTTCAGTTCTCATACTTAATATATTTTGCATTATATAAAAGAGAACATTTCATATATATTTCTTTAGGTAATTAGAAAAATTGAGAACAACCCAAAAGAAAAAATATGGCAAAGAAAATCACCAATTTCAAGAAGAACTACCACAAATGACTAAAAGTGGTTTGACCTTACTAAATATTGAATAAATAGAAATTTTACACTATGATATGTCACATTTTATAAAACAAATATTTTTAAGGCTGTGACTGTACAGTGTTAGCTGAAGTGTGATGGAAAGCAGGATTATATATACACTGTTGATAAGGTGACATAGTTTTAAGGAAATATCAACATTTAAAAAATTAATATTTGTGTTAAACTCCTTTATTTTCTGTGGGTCACTCTGTGTTGCCTTTCTGTTATAAATGGCTGGGTCCCACCGGGAAGTGCTTTCCTGGCATACTGAGCAATGGGTTACTTCCTTCTTGACTTAATGATTCCTAAAGCATTGTATGAAGAGCATTACTGTGGTTGTTGCTGATGCAGCAATTTTAAAACACCCTCTGCCTTATGGGATGCAGTGTTCTAGAAGATGGGTGGAATGGTTTAAAAAAAAAACTAAATGTAAATTAAAGATGGTATCTTATAAAACATAGTGGACACCCTCGGATAATGTAGAGAGATACAGCAGGTTTCCACAGGATTGGACTAGGCCATAACCAGTTAAAACAGAGATCCCTCAAAGACTTGACATATTGAAACTGATACAACCTATAAGCAGGGTCTCAAGGGGAGGGAGTGAGGATTGAGAAGACAAAGGCACTTAGACAGCACTGTGACATGACTCCAGACAGTGCTGAGGCTCAAGCAGCCTTCTTTCTTCCCAGTCTGCTTTTATATCATTCTAGGTACAGCCAACAGAACATGGTCAGTTCTTAGATCAAAGACAAAGTAATCAAGCAAAGTAGTAAACAAGATCACCCAAGACAGCAATCAAGCAAAGCAGTAACAAAGCCCCATGGTCACGGTTTCTAATGTTCTTATCTGAGCCTACTTCCTTGTCTGAGCCCAGTGACAAATGCCAGAGTCCTAGAAGTGGCACCAAAAGCTCTCAACAAGCAAACATTGGAATGCATTTTTAGAAAGCAAAAGACCGTTAAAATATCACAGAACAATACAGCATATAGACATGAAAGTGCCGTGCACGGAAATCTACAACTCTGCCGATGAAGTTAATAGCAGCTTAATATAGTGGAAGCAGAAAGAATTGAGCAGGAGGCTGAGACTATGAAGAGACAGTGCATCATGGGGTTACAAAGGAAAGCGCAAGATGCATGAAGGATGTAGTCAAATCTGAATGATTGATGGAGTCTCAACAAGAAACAATGTTTCACAGAGCAATAGATAAAAGTGTCTAGAATTGATGATTTGTAACATTAAACAAATTCAAGAGACAGAGAAATGCCAAGTAGCAAAATAGAGAGAGGGAGGGAGGGAGGGAGGGAGGGAGGGAGAGGGGGAGAGAGAGAGAGAGAGAGAGAGAGAGAGAGAGAGAGAGAGAGAGAGAGAGAGAGAAAGAGAGAGACAGATACAGAAAGCAGGCTACAGACTGATAGTCATAGTAAACTGCAGACAAGCAAAGATGTCTGTGTTCTTAAAGGATCCCGAGAGAAGAGCAAGAGATGATTTGCAGAGGAGAGCGAAACCTACTGCTCACCTGATGGTGGTAAAGCACAGCATTTCTAGTGTGTGGAAAGAGACTTCCAACCTTTAATCCACAGAGCGTGGACCAAGGAGCTGAGACACTAGGATAGAATCACTAAGTCTGAAACAAAAACCTAAAAGACAGAGAGCACCAGCTGTCTCCAGGGCTGCAGAACTGTAGAACAAATGCTTGCTTTGCTAGCTGGAGTGTAAACTGGTGTGTGATCTTTGTGAATAGCCCCTGGCATCATGTGACATAGCCCCACAGTTTAGCCCCAGAACAGAAGCACATGTGCACAAGTGTACCATGAAATTATACACAGAATGCTGTGATGGCCCCAGAAACAATGTGAGTGCTTATTAATAACATAGATAAAAGTTTAGAATTGTCGTTGGTTAATCTCGATTGTTAACTTATTGGATTGAGAAGGACACATCTAGGTATGTCAGGATATTTTCGGGGGGAGGGTTATCTATGATTAAGGGGACGTGAACCTCCCTTAATATGTACAGTACCATCCTATACATGTGGGGCTCATATGGAATGATAGAGGAAAGGAAAAGACCTGATGGAGCATAGGCATACTGCCCCCTCCTTCTCTCTCTCTCCCCTCCCTCTCTCTCTCTCTCCTTCCCTCCCTCTCTCTCCACTTTCCCTCTCTTCCTCCCTTCCCCTCTCCCTCCTTTCCTCCTTCCTTCCTTTTCCCTCCCTTTCTCCCTCTTTTCCTATGTCTCTCTCATCTACTCCCTCTCCTTTTGCTCTCTTCTTCCTTGCCCATCTTCTCCTCTCTCCCCCTCCCTCCCTCCCTCCTTCCCGGTCATCACCATGGTAGATGCACTTCTGTGCTGCTTGCCGTACTGCCGTGACTGAAAGCTTAGAAACAATAAGCCCCAATAAGCCCCAAATTCTTCCTTACAAGTTGTTTTTCTCATTTGTCATCATGATGGAAAAGCTACTGTAGAAAGTTGATCCTAGGAACATGGGTCATTGATCTGACTATTCCTGATAAGGAGGTTCAGAGACTTTTGGAACTAATTTGTGGCAAGAGTTTGGAAGAGTTTGGAGATGTGTACCAGAGGAACCCTGGAATTCTGTGAGCAGAGCTCCATGACTGATTCTGTTGAAGCTCCAAAGCCAGAATAAGGTAGGAATGCAGGCAATAACAGCGTGCCCATGGGCAGACAGAAGAGGCTTCTGCTGGGAGTAGGGTTTTCGGGCCATGAATGCTACATTCTGGTAAATAATTTGTTTATTTTTATCTAAGCCCCACGACTGTAGGAAGCTAGATTTTAAAGTGATGGACTAATTCATCTGGTAGAAGAGAATTGAAGGCAGCTACTATTTAGGCTATCAGATGGGTATTGCAAGATGCTTGTAGCCAGGTTTACAGTGAGAATTTGGAGCAAAAAGCAGAGCCAAAAATTTGAAAACTGAGACATTTTGCCAGAGAAGGAACACACTTAAAGCTGACACTAAAGAAAGTACAGCTACTGGAGAGATTAAAGCCATTAAAAGGAAGCAAAATCCTTTGCATCAGCTCAGTCAGAAATTGGTCAGACTCCACCAACTGCAGGCTCAAGAGTATACAAGAGCGAACTTATCTGAGAGACACTTCTCTTGAGGGGAGAAACTCCCCAAGGCTCCTTGCGTGCATAGGACAGCCTAAAATCTGTTTCTCTAGGACTTGTTACTCCACGGCCCTCAGAAGCAAAGTGGCTATCATCTAAAATTGCTTGGCAACTGTTCAAGCTGGCAGGAGACCTTAGCATTGTCTTCTGAGTCTGGTTTTTAGGAACACAGAATGCAAAATATATGAGGTCGTGGAGGTTTCCACGGTCCAAGGAAAGTGCCAGAATCATGGTAGGCAGCAGTGTCTAAAAGGTTATGTGTGGTGGAGAAGGCAGAGCTGCAGTGAAATATGACAGAGACGATGGTGATGTCGGCTGTCTGCAAACAAAGTACTGTAAGCATAACCAGCCCAAGAAGCAGGTCACCTGAGTTGTAGGCAGCAAAGACAAGGGAAGCGCCACACAGGCCCTGGGAACTCTTGTTACATCACTATGGACCCTAGTTCTGGACACGGAGCTACAGGGTTCAGTGCTTTCCCTGTATGGTTTCTGTCTTGCTTTGGTCCCATCTCTGCCCCTCAATTTTTTATCACACATTCCCATCCTTTGGAATGGGGATGTTTTACTCTGTGTAATTGTACCCTGTAAGTATGTAACTTTATTTTTACTTACACAATTTCTCACAGCTAAGAGACTGTTCAGTGTCAAAGGAGATTATAGACTTGTACTTCCAACATCAGCAGAGCTATGAAGAGCATGAGCACTCTTGGGGATGGGCTGGGAATATCTTACGGTGTGAAGCAACAAGAGTCTTTGGAGGCCGGGGACTGAACGTTATGGCTTAAGGAGATGCATTTGGGTGTCAGGTTGACAAGGGGTGGACTTGTGATGGCCAAGCTTGATCATCTGTGTAGTTAGACTGAGGAGAATCTACAAGATTACTAAGACTCACCTCCTCTGACTATGTCTGGGTGGGTGTTTCTGTAGAAGATTAAGGGAGGAAAGAACCACCCTGAAGTTGCTGGCATCACCTCAGAGGCTGGAAGTCAAGATGGAATAAAAGAAAAAAAATATAAGCCTGCAAGAAAAGAGGTATTTCCTTTCTGCCTCATAGGCTCTGTGATCTAGTGTCCTTTGTCTACCGTGCCTGCCCCATCATGAGGGACTGAAACCTCTGAAAACATGAGAAAAGTCAGTCTTTCTTCAGTAAGTTTGTTTATGGCAGACTTTGTCACAGCAACACAAAAGTAATATGACTGTAGAAGGTACCTGGTGACAGTGAAGTGGATGCTCTTCAGCTCTGTGACAAATATAATTAAGAGAAGCAAAGCCCCAAACTCCCTAAGGTCTGATGCCCTGTAGCCTTTCAGAGCAAGCAAGTCAGACTGCCCTCTAGGAGCCAGACATGGCTTGGACCGATGAATACCAGCAAGGAAGGAAATGGCATGAAAGTTAAGAATCATGCTTATTTCTAAGGTGAGAAGCAAGGTTGAAACCAGGAAAGGGACATGAGATCCCAGGACATGGGCGTCATTTCTGGATCAAGAGTTCATTTGTATGCTTCTTGTCATGAATTTTCCTTTCGCAAGCATTTTCTTCCTTAGGTCAGAGGTTAGCGTGCCAGTGGCCTTTTAATGAGAGAACAGACTGTGCACTTAGTGGGAGAAGAGTTCTTCTGACCTAAGAGTCCAGACCCATTGTAGCAGCATATCCTCTAAACACACTGTTCTCTGCTACCTACAGACTGTGTATGTGATGGCGGTCATCAAATGATGCTGTACTGGTCCATCTTAGTCAGTGTGTATTCACTCTTGTGCTACAGTCAATGAAAGCCCCTTGTGAAGCTTCCCTCAGGTTGCAGCCTCATCAAGAGCGGCATGCCTGTACCTTTGCAGATGAGCACCTGTGTGTCTGCTGAAACCGTGTTTGCCATCCCATGTAACCGCTCCAGAGGAACTTAATGTTAATTTCTCATGAAATCCTCCAGTAAGGAGTATTACAAAAGGGCTATAAAATAGATTTTAAGTAAAGTTCACAGTTGGAGTTTTGTCTTTTCCTACTTGAAGTCCTAGGTGAATAGGAAGCTCTATTGTGTCCCTGTGAACCAGTAGAAAACTAGTTACTTAATCACAGGGCACACCTGGGATTTTGTTCCCTGTCCATGCATAGCCTCAAGGAGCGTCTGTTGATGGGAAGTATCTGAGCAAGCCTCACCTTGATGACATCAGATACTGAGAGAGTTTTTCCTCTCCTTGAGTTTGTTCTTTGGATCCAGAGAGAGTTCAGCTTTTCTCAGGTGGAAAGGCCTCCGCTTCACAGTGAGAAGTCTGAACTTCACAGGCCATGACATTGTTGATATAGAAACATAGCTCTCACCTCAAAGCAATAAGTGGTTATTCTGAAGCCGAATATGAGTTGATGAGAGCCTGAGAACCCAGCTTTAAGTTACCCCATGTACCATGTTCCAACATGGAAACAATTTCATGAAGCTTTTAATAGTAACAGGACAAGAAAGATCTGAGTCGAGGCATTTTTAAAGTACGTTGACAGAGACATTAGGCAAGTTAGAGCAGTGCAGGAAGCTTATGCTATAGGGCTCAGATGTTATCTGGTGACACTCTCAGCCTTGGGATTGGTAGAAGCTAAAGGGTCTGTTTGTATGTTCTGAAAGGATTTACTTAGTGGTTCCAAGGATGTTAGGTCATACATTTGGACAGACAATAAATAGTTATTTAGATGGCTTAGATGGCCCAATATAATTTGGTTTTAGACCTGCAGCATCCTGGCTTTCTAAACTATAGAAGTTCTAATGAGCCAGTCAGCCTTGTAAAATGTTTACCTCAGATGAATGTGACATTTTGGGAGAGAACCATGACTGACAAAATGCTGAAATTTATCTCCAGTCTTACTGTGGGTAGATATTCTGGAAACAGCCAGAGCTTCAAACAAAAGGCTGTCCCCAATGCCATGGTTTCCATAAAATAGGGATTTAGCATCAGTAGTAGGTATTTTGTTGTATGAAGATTTTGCAAGTTCCCTTAAGTAGTGAGTAGGAATATTGGGGCCTTGTGACATGCTACCTCTGTTGCTGTTACTTAACTCCATTGTTGCCCTTCAGGAGGATGAGAGAGAGAATGCAGCAGTAGATAACATCACCGTGGCTGATTCCACAGATGTGGGGCGCAGCACAGAAGTGGGTGGTGCAGACTTGACCTGTAGGCTGCGGTTTTCTGACCCCTAGCCTTAGCCATTTGCTTGCCTGTTGTTTTTGTGTCCTAAACATCTGGAAAAAGTCAGTGAGGAAAGAAAATTACTTTAAAATGTTCTCCTTCTCCCTCTTGAAACTTGGCTTCGACCTCACTGAAATAAAACCCTTTAGCAGTATTAGCATACAAATGTATGCTGTATCTATTTCCCCTTACTTACTAATGAGGGAAAATTTAATTTTCTAGTGGAATGACTTAGCATCACTGTTTACAGACAGAATTTGATGCAAACCAGTAGGTATGCCCTGGGCTTTCTTGTTATGTGTTGCATACAGTGAGGGCAGTGCACAAACTGTCCGAAGCAGTGTAGACTATAATACCAGTGGGGAGGGCGCCAGAGTCTAGGGTGTCAACATATTTTTTTTTCAGTTGTGGGCACTCATTTCTTGGGGGAAATTTATCAGCTAAGCATGAACTAAGAGTCAGTAAACATTGGCTGAGCAAATAGTGTCAATATGTAAAGAATTGGGCCCAAATCGGGAAAGAGAGGGAAAACCAGGAGGTGGGGGGCGTGGACATATACTGTGCTGAGCTCACTGAGACTCTGGGCGACTTGGAACTTGGCCTGGGTTAAAATCCACTGGGCAGATTAGTATGTAAATGAAAAGCAAGCCGTGAGAGAGCTGGTCCAAAAGTCAAAAGCAAGAAGCAGATGGAGATGTGGTTCTGGGTGAGAAGTTGAGGCACATTTAGGATGGAGGGCAAGAAGCATTGCGCCCCCTCCCTGTGCTCCATGAAGGTGTGTAGCAGCAGTGGCAGAGTTGAGAAGCCAGATGGGAACATCCCAACAAAGCTGATGGGAGTCAAATAAATGCCAGGGGAATTCCCCCTTAGCACCACAGCCCAACCACTGGACCCCATTGGAACCTGACCATTTCCTTATGTTCAGCCTCCTAGCATTGGCTCGGTGGGAGAATATTCTCGGGCCACCACCTGCTTTGCCAGTGCTCAAGGAGAGAGGCAACTGCCTGTTTTGTTTTGTTTTTTTTAAATCCCTTGTCCCTAGCCCACAGAGGCTCTCTGTGAACATCTGCACTGTTCCCTGCTATTGTCCTTAGAGATCCATGAGCTTAGGTTTGTGGAACTGTACTGGGCCTTTCAGGTAAGGAACCCTCCTAGAAATCATCTCAGAGACATTTTCTCGAGAGCCTCATCCACAGCAGGTAGCTTTTCCAAAAGTTGGAAATAATTTCCGGCTATTGTAAGAGGTCTGCTGGGGGGAGGCTTGTGGAGATTCTTGTTTTGTCTTTACTGGTTTTACTGGTGTGCTCTTTGACCTGAGATGCCTGTTGTTACCTCAGTCTCCAATAAAAAGTAATTTTTAAAGTTAATTTTAAGTTTTATCTGAATGCATATGGGTGTTTTGGCTGCATGTATATCTGTGTGTCATCTGTGGGCATGGAGCCCACAGATACCAGAAAAGGGTATCTGATCCCTTGCAAGTGAGGTAACAGATGGTTGAACCCAGGTTCTCTGCAAGAGCAGCCAGTGCTCCTTCACCACTGAGCCATCTCTCCAGCCTCCCCTAACCCCCTAAAGTGATTTTTGGTTACCAAGCTTTTGTGCCAATACTTTCTGTGTGGTATGACACAGCACAAGACATGCTGCCTGCCAAAGTGGGGCTCCACACACCTGTAGGGCAGCCTGTTTACCTTGTCCTGCCCATGGTGGACATTGAATATCCACCTGAGCATGCTCCCCAGTGAGGCTTGAAAACCCCAGGTTAAGTGAAGGCAGAATTTTCTGCAAACAAATGCAGGAGAGAAATCTGCCAGAGGGTTGTAGGCAGGACACCACAAACACTTCCAGAAAAATCTTTCTGAGGCAGGGGACTGGTTCTGACATTAGTTAGGGGCTTGTTAAGAACTGATTAAACACCCCTACCTACATGTGATCAGTAAGTCCCAAGGCGTTCCTCAGTACTGGAAGTAACCTATCATCTGCTTCCTGAGAGGGTGGCCCGAGTCCTCTGACAACCCCATTTTCTAGGTCAGAAAGCAAGCTGAAGAGACCACTCCAGCAGATC